CATGTTCAGATGCAAACCGAGGTGCAACCAATGCTTTTAATGCACACACCAAAGCAGCAAAGTAAAAATATGATTGGTAGTGTATTAAAAGGGTTTATTCTGATTCTCATATGAACAAAAAAAAAAAACTAATCTAGGGTAAGAGCAAAGCAAAAATTACTTTCAATCCTGCAAAATGACCTCTGTTACACACAAACACAGAGAGAGAGAGAGAGAGAGAGAAAGAGAGAGAGAGAGAGAGAGAGAGAGAGAGAGAGAGAGAGAGAGAGAAGAGTGTGTAAGAGAACGTGTCTCAGTCTTCTCATCTGTCAGTTATATAGTTTTATACCCCATAGTGCATGTACAATCAATTTTGTGCCAAACTCCAGGGAAAGATACATCTCTGTTTTATGAAAAAAGGAGCCTTGGCAGTACATTCTGCTTCTCTCTGCATTCTACTAAACAAAACAGCTGGTCATTCAAATTTTCCATCACAGTACCTTGTTAATGCATCTGTTACAGCACTGTGGACTGATTATAACTGTGGATATTAAAGATAATCTGCCAGAAATTTCTATTGCAACCGTTTTAATTGATTTCAATATTAAAATTATAGTGGAAAAATAAAATGTTGATATTTCAGCCTGCATATGCTCACTAACGGGGTATTGATTACCATTTGTACTGTATAACCCCATTAAACTATGGTCAATGCAGCAAAACCATGGTTCATTTGCGCCAATTGGAGAAGTTTTTTCCTCGCTGCTGTCGCCACTGGCTTGCATGGTTCGGGATCTGTAGAGCTGCGCATCGATGGATTGCTCTTCAGTGTTTGGACTCTCAGTAGTGATTATTAAACCACACTGAACTGAGCTAAACTGAACTAAACTTAAACTCTGAAAACTGAACTACAATGTTTCAATTTACAATGATCTTCTATGTGAAGCTGCTTTGACACAATCTACATTGTAAAAGCGCTAAAGAAACAAAGATGAATTGAATTGAATTTGTGGTTAGCATTTTAAATCTGCATTTAATAATAATTAAAAAAAGTTCTGTTTGTAACAGAAAATGAATGTTTTTTGCCCATTGAACCTAAAATGCAGATTTTACTCCTTACAAAATAGGGGGTGGAACAACATAAAAACATTCAGGGAAAGTTCTGTAGGTTCTATTTGGTAACCAAAAATAAACCTGCCAAGAACTTTGCAGGGATGTTTTTTTTTCATCACAACTTAAAAATAACATGTGAAGGTTTCAGGAACAATCTCCTAACCTAGAAGAAATACTCTATTTACATAAAGAAATCATTCTATGAAACAAAAATTGCTAGCTGGGCACTTTAAAAAAATCACTAAACTACTTGACAAAAGTCTTGTGGCCTATCCAAGTTTTAGGAACAACAAATAACAACTTGACTTCTAGTTGATTGGTTTGGATCACTTTTACCTTCTTTGCTTTCAGGAACTTTGATGTGGAGGGTGAAGTATAATAAGGAGTGCTATCCTGCTGAAGAATTTGCATTTGTAATGTAATAGGCAGCACAAATGTCTTGATACCTCAGGTTGTTGATGTTGCCATCCACTCTGCAGATCTCTTGCACGCCTCCATACTGAAAGTAACCCCAAACCATGATGTTTTCTTCACCAAATTTGACTGATTTCTGTCTGAATCTTGGGTCTATGCACGTTCCAGTAGGTCTTCTGTAATATTTGTGACGATTGGAATGCAGTTTAATAGATGATTCATGTGGGGGAAAAAAATCTACCTTCTGCTCTTTTTCCAGTGATCAACTAGAAGTCAAGTTATTATTTGTTGCTCTTACAACTGAGATCAACAACAAAACTTGTCTGGTAGTGTATTATGTATAATGTCACATGAGGCACTGAGGCAAAATCTGTTGATTGTCTGTAAGATACTCAATGGAATTTACAAATAATAACTTGAAAAACTGCACTGATGTCAGTAAGATCAAATGGTATGAATATACCTGGCCATAATCAAAAAACTTCACTGATATTGACTTTTTTTTTTGCCATCTTGCAAAACTCCGTCTTTTGGGTCTCAAATCAGCAACATTGACCAAGCAACAGCAGCTTTACCTGTAAATGGTTGTGTTTGTGCATGTGTGAGGGGCTCATAACAGCAACATAAGTACCAGGAGACAGTGGTGACATGTGGCACATCTACTCTCACACTCTGAACAGGTTGGTAATGAGAGCCAGTGGGGTTTCAGCGGCGTATCCTAACAACCCTCGTGTTTGTTTCTGCTGATCTGTCAGGGGTCTGGAGATCACTGCGGCTCTCCTCATCAATTCACACACTCTGAATTGATTACCTCTTCACTTCTCCAACTCATGCTCGTGTACTTGAAAGTTTTACCGCTTTTATCCCCCTTAGGAGATGAATACAAATTTAAAAGCGCCATGTAAAATGCATATTTTGCATTGAAATTTTGTAAACAAAACCTTATATGGCAATATTCATAGGCTAAGATTGAGAAAAAATATCAATACAGCATAGTATTGGGATATTTTCCAAGGCAATACTAATATATTGATACATCTATGCTTGCATAAGTTAAAGTTGGGAAAAGATCATATATTGTGACAGCCAAGATTTATTAGCAATAGCCAAAATGTATGGGTCAACATGTTACATTTTACAGTAGAATAAGGTTTCAGTAGTTAATGTTAGTTTACTTATTTACTAACATGAACTAACTATAAACTAGTTATTTGTACAGCATTTATTATTCAGAGGTCAACATTTACTGATTATTTATTAAATTACAATTTCATGCTTATTACCATTATTTAACGCACTGTGGGTTAACATGAACTAATACGAATTACTGTATTATCAATAACTAACATGAACAAATACTCTGATAAATGTAATGTTCAATGTTTATTCATGTTAGCAAATACATTAACTAACATTAACTAATACAACTATTGGAAATTGTTACCAATTTTTCTTCTATGCCAAAAATCATAAAAATGTTTAGTACCAATGAAGGGCACCTATGATGAAAATCAACTTTTGGAAGCTGTTTGGACAGAACTGTGTGTATGGTCTGTCCAGTCATATTGGAGTGAAAGAAACACAAGTCTCTTTTTTAAAATGTCCTGACGTTTAAAATAGAATCCCAGTGATTTTGATACACACCACAACATGACGTAGGGGTGCGGTTTTTCCCGCCAACCGAATTGATTTAAAGGTGTCATGTATCCATAATAACATGTATACACACGTCCACAGAACATTTTTTGCAAAAAGAAATTAGATTAAAACATATGTTACAACTCTCTGTGATCAGGTGCACCTCAATAATGAATTTGATAAGTTTAAAATGCTTTTAAAACAGCATGCTTGTAATGAAGAGAGTAAAATCGCTATGTAATTCTTAAACCGATATAATCACCACGGCCGCATGGTGTCAGCAAACGCGCATAAATGTGTGTGTGTTCTGAAAAATGGCATTTGTTTGTGACCCATCGTTTTAGAAAGGCTTGAATAAACTCCACACCAAATACATCAGATAAACTTACATGGTATTTTTGACCAGTGACCTTATTTCAGCTTCATCCATGTCTGTCTCTATTACTGACTGCTGTTTATCTGACATAACGCATGATGAGAAGCAGATATGCACGTGGAAGTGGTGGGCGGGGAGAAGCAGCTCATTTGGATTTAAAGCCACATGCTACAAAAACAGTTACAGTGTAGTCAGATTCTACATTGTATAATAAATAATCTGATGGGTATTTGGTACTGAAATTTTACAGACACATTCTGGAGACACCAAAAGCTTATCTTACATCTTGTAAAAGGGGCAAAATAGGTGTTTGTAAATATTTTGTTAGTTTGTAATTTTATTTTGGTAAGTTTATCAAAACCTAATTTTTTATTAGTCATGTGCATTGCAAAGCACTTCATTTTGACAATTAAAAATTTCTCAGTAGATTTTTTTAACCCTCTGATTCCAAATAGTTGTATCTCGTATTCATCAATAGAAAGTAATTCATTACTAATAATTATGTCTAATAATATTACTGTCATCTTAGAAGTACGATGCTAATATCACCTCGTGTACACTCTATATTCCCCACCCCTAACTATACAGTTGGTAATTAATTCAATGTTATTTTAGATATTATATACAATCTAAGTGTGCCAAGAAAATATCCCTTGCAGCAAAACACCTTCACATCCAGCCTGAACTACTGATACAAGACAAGATGTTCCATCTGCTGCTGTTTACACCAAATTCTGACCTTGCCTTTTATAGGCGCATAGGCTCATCAAACCGGGAAAGCTTTTTCCAGTTTTTTGCTGACTATTTTTGTCTAGACCATTTCAATTAATCTTAGTTTAATTTCTTTTTATTTGTTTAAGCTCTTTTTATTTGGCAAGTGTCACCGGTTGCACTTCTTCTGCCGCTTTACCTCATCTGCTTTAAGGTTAGACATGTGAATTCAAAGATGAGCTCTCATTCTGCAGACCTCAGTTGTATCGACTGATAATTTGAGTTACTGTTGTCCTTCTTCAAGCTCAAACCAGTGTGGGTCGTCTCTTACCCTAGCATCAACAAGGCATTTGATAGCCACTCACTGGATATTTTCTCATCTACAACATTCCTCTCTAAACCATAGAGATGATTGTTGAATGAAAATCCTAGTAGATCAGCATTTTCTGAAACACACAGACAAGCAATTCAGTTCAATCCTGTCTTCATTCTGATGACGTCTAAACAAACAGTTGCTGCCACATGATTGGCTGACTTGAACAGACATACTTAACAAAAACCAGTGACAGTGAACATATTTGATACAAGTATCTCTAACCTAGATGTGAAGAACATCATGCAACAGCAGGCCATCGCAATCCCATCACAATCAGTGTCAAAGCTCTATGGGTGACGAACACTTCATTTGATGGAGGAACGTCAACAGATTAACACCTGACAATGAATGATCTGAATTACACAAGTGCAGCAAAAATCGCTTGAAATTTTTACATTAACGACACATTTATTCCATCGCACACAACAGGTGGTATAAATGCCATAATGAGAGAATTATTCAGAATTCTTACAGCAAAAGTGCCTCCTAAACCCTAAAAATAAAACCGTTCCAAAGCAAATATGGCTTTTAAAATGGCTGCACAGTACTTTTTGTGAATACCACAGACCAACAAAACCTCCACGATCGATGTGAACAGACTACAGTGAAAGAAATTCGACATAAAATTAATCTTATGCATACGTTAAAGTGTAACGCAACATGTATTAGTCTCACTTTTGAAAAGCCATCAGAGATGAGTTTGTCACTTCTCTCCTCATCGACTAAACGCTCTTGGTTGACACCAAAAAGTCATTTAAATAAAGGTTATGATACACAGTGCAAGCTGTAAATACCAGAATTACCCCTTTGAACAGCCTCTTTAAAGAAAGCAAGCCCACTAACAGAAGCAAGTCCTGTAATTTAGATGAACAAAAGCACACCATGTTAAGAGTGTTTCTAAAGTCCTTGGTCCCTCTAAACGGTGTGCCGATGGGGAGTTGAAGGTGACAGCTTTTTCACGGTTTGCTGGTTTGCCCGTTTTAAATCGGGGCTGGTGGTGCAGTATAAGGAGAAGCGGGAAATGGTCATGCTGAAAATTTAAGCTCAGCTCAGTAAGTCTGGTTGGAGGCCAATCCTCTGAAGCACATCCTCAGGCATGCAAAACACAGGGTTCACTGGCTTGATCTGCTCATCTCCAAGCAGAGACAGACCGGCTACACCAAACAGAGTGTGGAAAGGATCCACCTTGAAGGAAAGGAAAAAGACGAATGGATAATACTGGTAAGAATGAACTGCAGAGACTGATAAGATGTTTTGAAATAAGTTAAGTCCATGTGAAAATAAATGAGTGAAATCTTTGCAGAGGCACGCTTTTTTCTTTTTTTGCAACAAACTCCGGCAAGAACTTACCATGTCTCCAGGCCTGTCAGCAAAGCCTCCGGTCTCTTCATCCTGGCAGGCAAGAATAAAATTGCGCAGTTTTGCTTTGTCAATCCAGTGAATTCTGCCAATGATTTTCAATGAGGCAAGAACCCACCAGGAATAGCAGACATCAGGCAGCTGAAATCAGGGAAAAAAAGGTTTACATGTGTTTTTGATCTACAGTTGGAGTCAGAATTATTAGCCCCCGTGAATTATTCACCCCCTTGAATTATTTTTCCCCAATTTCAGTTCAATTGAGAGAAGATTGTTTCAACATTTCTGAACATAATAGTTTTAATAACTCATTTCTAATAATTGGTTTATTTTATCGTTGCCATGATGACAGTAAATGATATTTTATTAGATATTTTTCACGACACTTCTATACAGCTTGAAGTGATATTTAAAGAGTTAACAAGGTTAATTAGGTTAGGGTAATTAGGCAAGTTATTGTATAACGATGCTTTGTCCGTAGACTATCTAAAAATATATAGCTCAAAGGGGCTAATAATTTTGACTTTAAAATGATTTTTTTAAAAATTAAAACTGCTTTTATTTTAGCCGAAAAATAAAACAAATAAGACTTTCTCTAGAAGAAAAAAAATATTGTGAGACATACAGTGAAAATTCCTTGCTCCGTTAAACATAATTTGGGAAATATTTAATAAAGAAAAAAACATTCAAATGGGGGCTAATAATTCTGACTTTAACTGTATTTATTATACATAATATGCACAAGAGGAATATTACAATGTGTCCTGTTTAACTGTTTTTTTTTTCTTCTTTTTTTCTATGATGTACAGCAGACTAAACATTAAATGTCAGTCACCGTTCACTTTTTAGGAATACTTAGATCTTGTAATGATATATTAAAAGACACTTTAAGGAGCACAGTGGAATCCCTAAATACTTTGATGCTAATTATAAGTCTTAATACTTTTCCACTATGCTTTAAAACACTAGGTTTTATCCATTTATCAGCAAGACGTTTTAAAACTTTAAATGCAATTCCGTATGATTGTTGTTTTTTTTCTTTTACTTCTTGCTATATAATAAGCACCGTTCAGGATTTCTGAATATTTTAGTTAATTTTCATACATATAACTATGCTACACTGAATATTGATGGAACACTGCTTTACCCGCATTTTGACTTTTTATTTTAGTAATACAATTATTTTAGTAATACTTTTTATTTTAGTATACAATATTAGTATAATAAATTTTGTTCTAGAATTTTGATCCAGAAAATATACCTGGGATGCAATTATATTATTTGATAAAGTAGCATCAAGAAAAATATTGGGTCACACTTTATTTTAATGGTGCGTTTGTTGAATTTAAGTTACATTAGTTACATGCCAACTAATTCTCATTAGATTATAAGTAGACTGTTAGAATTGGGGTGAGGGTTAGGGTAAGTGCAAGTTGAAATCTACTGCAAAGATTGTTAAATTCGGTTAAATGTCTGTTGAAGGAGCAGTATCAACAGATATTAAGCACACAGTCTACTAATACTCAAATGGACCATCAAAATAAAGTGAAATGTTTTAGAAAATCATTTTATTTGTGATACAATTCATTTTTATCAATTCTACACATGATCTTACCTTCTCTGGCCTCCCATTCAGTCCTCCTGATGGCAGCTGTCTTTCACAGAGCCACCAGCCCAACAGATCTGCATTGACTTGATGAAGCTGCCCAGTGACAGACAAGAAACCTGTGCAGCAGTAAATCTAGAAACACAACGAGACACTCAAATCAAGTCATCTTTATTTCTATAGCTATACAATAAGGACATGTAAGCAGATGAACAAGGACAACCAGGAAAATAATAGAATCAATTACGGAAACAACTGAGATTCAGCTTTAAATGGCAACAGTGTCATTATTTAGCTCAAGTCAGTTCAGTTCAGATAACAGTGAAGTTCATCTATTTAAAATTAGTACAACTGATTCGCAGTTCTACAAAAGCAGAAATATTGTATAAATGACAAACATGTTTGGAACCTAACAGGATAAGTGAACAAACAGATTAAAGAGACAAGATAATTTATGAAAAGTGTATAGTCGTCGCTACAATATATTTAGCTTTGTTAAAGTATTTTTTTGCAGTGTTGAGTATTCCACACATGCTTCTGTTAAGCTTAAGAATGTATTAGTCAATCAATGGTGTTAGACTAGAAACAGCTGAAAAGTTTTGTTTTTTAAAGTATTTTGTAAATAATGTTTAATATTGTGGGTAATGTTTTAAATGTTAACGTTGTAATTAATGTTTTAAAGCAATCATTCATTCATTTTCTTTTCAGCATAGTCCCTTTATTAATCCAGGGTTGCCCCAGTGGAATGAACCGCTAACTTATCCTGCACATTTTTTATGCAGCGGATGCCCTTCCAGCAAGTAATCTAAGTAAGGAATTAGTTATATCTTTGTTATAATAATGTTGTTGTGGTTTTTTTAAAACATAAATAAATTTAAAACTATTCTATGCTAGATTCATTACATAGACCAACAGGTTTTGTCTATAGACAGAATTTAAAATGCTTTCTTCCTAAAAACAAAAATGTTTTTTTATGCATTATAATATTCACTATTAATAACCATCATTTCAATAATCAACAATAAAGCTTTTGGTCATAATACTGCACATTCTGTATTTACTTCTTTTACATGTATAATTTAACTTCCCTTTCTAAAACCTTTTGTTTTTATTGGTAACAGATTAACAAGTTATTTGAAGTACTTGGTTTCATTCAAGTGTATTAAAGTGCTTTATTAAAAAGCTATAAAAACATGAAATCAGATAATTAACATGTAATTTTTTTTTTAATTGCCTATATACGGTTAACAAAATTATCTTTAAAATAATTCATGCTGACAAACATCGCTACTTAATAGAAAGGTTTATTTCTGGCACTGCAGGGCATCCCAAATATACCAAATAAGGGCACAACACAGCTCAAATATCTCACCTGACCAGCATGAGACTCTGAACCAGGCCTGCAACCAAACCCACCGTCAAAGTTCATACAGGACATCACAAACTCTACGGCCTTGTCTACGTTGATCACATCCAGTTTGCCCTACACAGAAATTTGTCTTGTTAGAAGCATAAAATCTAGAAAGATTCCAAGAAACATTATTAAAAGGTATTGAGATGAAATATTTGGAAATAAAGTAATTCATACCAGTAGTGCTAAAGTTGCAACTGCACAAAAGGAAAAACGTGTATCTATTTCACCTATTAAAGAATAGAAAAGGAAAAAAAATCACTAATAATTAGGGCATGACATTGAAATAAAACTGGCTTTGCAATATTTTGAAGTTCTGCGATATAAATAGAAGTTAACAAGATAACTCTATAAGAAAAGAACTCATAATTTTACATTGATTGTAATGATTTTGTAGGGGAGTGAATCTGCATTAAAAATAATAAACAAATTCAAAGCATAAATTACTCAAATAAAACAAAGATACAAATGAAATAAACTGATTTATGATTTTCTGGAGAGTCTACACTCTCAGAAAAAAGGTGCACGTTGGTATAAATAATGTTCCTTGAGGAACAGTTTTGTACCTTTGTAAAAATTGTACTTTATACGGTACAGAAAAGACATTTTATGATGCAACTCCTTTTTTTATTACAATACATATAAAAATAAATATTACTGAAAAGGCAAAGTAATTTTATGAATAATTTCCATATTAAAACATAAATCACCATTTTTAAAAATATGTTTAAAGAAGGTGCAGCACAATGGCATAATGGGTAGCACAACTGCTTCACAGCAACAAAGTTGCCGGCTGCTTGGGTCAGTTGGCACTTCTGTGTGGAGTTTGCATGTTCTCCCTGTGTTTGCGTGGGTTTCCTCCGGATGCTCCAGTTTCCCCCACAAGTCCAAAGACAGGGTACAGGTGAATTGGGTAAGCTAGAATTGTCAGTAAAACATATATTCTGCAATGTGACTTTCACATTTGCACATAACGATGTTGAAATAATATATTTTGCAGCCTTACTAAAATTATAACTTTTTTTTTCACACAAAGACTGATTAAAAAACTATTTAAATACCCCATTTGTCCCCTGCAAACGAGCCATCCTCTTGCTGCAGTCCTTTAACATATTCCACCACTTTATCCACATCAATGGCATTAACACTATCATACAAGGACAGAATCTAAAGAGAAAAAAACATGTTTTATTTTCAATGGATGGATTTTCTACAGTCATTTATCAAATATGATTGTTGGTTGTCCTTCGGGTTTAGCAGTTTTCCCACTCACCTGTATAGCACTTAAAGTGTAAAGGAGATGAGGGTCATGACCGATGCTTGCGCTGATGCCTCCGCAGTCGTGCTGGCAGGATTTGATGAACTCTATAATCTCCTCTCGGTTCATTCGGGACAGTTGACCCATCAGGTCCATCACGGTAAGACCCCAGTAGATGCCACTCATTCTCAGATACTCTGACAGTGTGTACTCCTAGAGCAAAATAATTGGGAATTAATCAGCAATACATATTATTATTATTATTTATATATTTATTTTTTAAGCCATTAACTTACATAATCATCCTTCTTTGAACCATAAGCTGCAATATAGTCTGCATGCTTGTCTAGGAAGAGAGTGTTAGGAGCATCAGGCTTAATGGTCACGTCTTTCACCTGGGTCCCCTGTAAAACAACGTAGCTGCAATCAGTTTTAGACATTAAGCTCGAAAAATAAACCATTTGTTTTAGTCCAGACTAGTAAACTGCTGAAGTGACTGGGCGGTGACATGACAGCTTTATGCTGCTTTCTTTATTCTCATTTTAATGTGCGAAGCTCTTTTCTGTATTATCGCAGATAACCGAATGCTATTTCTATTAATTAAACAATTAAACGTTTACAAAACAGTATTGTGTTTACGTACCATTCTGCAGGAGAAACAAGAGACCGGACTACAGGCTGACTTCAGCCGTCACACATATATTACATCATCACACGCTCGTCATTTCTACGGGGGCCCGTAAGGTACACAACGCATTTAACTGGGACGGTAGTACACCGATGGTACAAGCGTTTATTTGTTGACGTCTGACACAAAGCATGACAAAATGTATAATTTCTTGAAGAAATATCATATTGTGGATATAAAGATTATATTGTGGAAAACTAGTTATGTTTGGTCCAAAATATTATTTAAGGCATTATTGCATGCATTTCACTAATAGTACATTTATTTATTTATTCACACAAATTTAATACAATAGTTACCTTGGAATAATCTGTTTGTCATTCCTTTTTAATAAATAATTCACACCAAAATGACAGTACTTTACTCATCTTTACTTGTTCCAAGCCCGTTAGACTGGTTTTGTTAAACACAAAAAGAAGAAGAATGTTGAAAACCTGTTACCATTGAATTTCATAGAATTAGTTTTCCATACTATGGATATCAGGCGATGCGGTGATGCAGTGGGTAGCATGATTGCCACACAGCAAGGTTGTCACTGGGTCGAGTCTCGGTTGAGTCAGTTGGCGTTTCTATGTGGAGTTTGCGTGTTCTCCTCATGTTAACGTGGGTTTCCTCCAGGTGCTTTTCTTCAGTATATCTTTTTTTTTGTTCAACAGAACAAAAAAAGGTTGGGAAAAAGTCAATGTTGAATAAATGACAGAATTGATTTTTTGGGGGTGAATTATATTAAAATCAAATACTTGATTTATATTTAAAATTGTTGGATTTTAATCCAGTTTTATGTTTTTCTTTCTTTCATATCAGTGAGTCTATTAAATGTGTCTATTGTGTTTTGAGCCCAATTTGAAATTCCCTGCTCCAAAAACATAGCTAGTATTCAAATCTTAAATATGTCTAAATAAAAAAGTTTCCCAAAACAATATTTTATAGCAAAATATTTGGAAAAAATACACAACATAATTTGCATTTTTTTTTAAACTAATACAAAAAGGGGCTACAGAATTTCAACCAAGACAGAATTTCAGGCAGGTTATTTATTTTTACTTTCAAAAGGACGTCATTTGTTACAAAAGGAATCTGAGGAAGAACGGTGTAACTATGTTACTTTGTTCAGCTTAACATTTGATCAACTTAGTTGTTCAACAAACATAAATATGGCAAGGCAAGCTGATATGACAAGGCAACCGGATCTCTCTGTAGGCAATTTACAATCTGCGAAACACAATCCTGAGATCTGTTGATCAACCATACAATCATGTAAAAAAGATGCTCAAAGTGTTGCACTAGCATGGATGGATTGTCCAGGGTTTACTGTTTGAATTTCCCAAGGACCTCTCTGGAGATGATGAGCCTTTGGATTTGAGCAGTTCCTTCATAAATCTGTAAATCAAGACAAGACATGTCACATTTTGCCATCCTTTACCAATTCAAATAAACAAGCTTCATGCATGCTTACCTGGTAAATCTTAGCATCTCTCATCAGCTTCTCCACAGGATATTCACTATTGAAACCGTTTCCACCAAAGATCTGGACAGCATCAGAAGCACACTGGTTGGCAATGTCTCCAGCAAAGGCCTTGGCGATCGAAGCATAGTAAGTGTTCCTGCGACCCATATCCACTTCCCAAGCTGCTCTCTGATAGGCCATCCTGGCAAGCTCCACTTTCATGGCCATTTCAGCCAGAAGGAAAGACACTGCCTGGTGCTAAAGATTGCAACAAACATGGCTTACTCAATTACACTGCAAAAATAGGCAGGTTTATTTATTAACCTTGTGGTATACCCATTTACTCTAGACAGACAAACAGGACTTCTACCTCTGCAATAAACTTTCCAAAGGTCTTCCTTTCCATAGCATACTTTGTGGCCTCTTCTAGTGCTCTCTGTGCAAGGCCTGTAGCACCTGCAGCCACCTGACAAACATCAAAAGATTATTGATGAGACGCGGGATGAAGCAGACATCTGCACTTTATAAGCAATAACACTTACTGGTGGTCTGGTCTTGTCAAATGCACCCATGGCAATCTTAAAGCCAGCTCCTTCTCCAATCAAAACGTTCTCCTTCGGGATCACTACATCCTCAAATGTAATGCCCCTGGTGTCGGAGCATCTCTGGCCCATGTTTAATTCCTGTTAAACAGAATAATGGAAATAAGCAAAAATAGCGAAAGCTGGTAATGACAGCTTAAACCAGCGCAAACACTTTTTTGGCATCAAAACCCTATAGTCAGGATTTATTAATAAAACGACACCAAAAGACAAAAATAAGTAGCTATGTGTACCGAAACCCAGTGCCATTGCGGCACCAGTACCTTTTGAACCGGTATGAACCAGACCGAATCAGCATATGAATTTCGGGGCCACTTGTGCTGCAACAAGGACGCAAGCATCAAGGGGTGCATCACAGGCACACATGGGTATGCGTTGGGTCACAATCTCCAAAAATGTCATTCTAAACAACTTGCAGACACGGACACCATCTGCGATGTCAGGGGCTTGTTATTGTTGCTTTAGAGAACGCACACAGGCAATACATGCAGTACAGCGCATCCAGCGAGTGATTTTTCATCAGATTCATCAACACGAATGATCGCATTCATCAAATTGGTTTAAACTAACCATTCTAAAATTATGGCTATATTTTACAAGCAAGAATTCTGACACAACAACGTAAAGCGGATGCTAGGGTTGTGCTGATAGACGATAGTATGAAACCTATAACGATTTTAAAGACGATATTTAGCTCATTTTGCACTAATGTAGACATATTACACGTTTTAATTGCATTATTGAATAAAATGAATAGTATTATTAATTTTAATCATCTTCATTAATAATAAATCAACTTTAAATAATATTGTAGCTTCAGCTTTTTACATTAACATCACCTGACCGACACTTTTGGACAAAAATGAATTACTTAGATTGCTCTCTTGCACTCTCTCTCTGTCTGTCCCTCTCTCTCAGCAGCAGCAGGTGTTGAAGCACGAGCTGCACATGAGGGCACAGCCACATCTTAGAGCAAATTAGTTTGCAACTTTGTTGCATAAAAATAGGCTAAATAGCAAAACTGGATTGTATTAACAAACATGTTAAATAAAACCATTTGTAAAAATGAAACAACTGAAAACGAAAATGAAAGAACTCTGAAACCAGCTCAAATGTTCTGGAATTAAACGTGTTGCGGTCATTGATCATTTGAGACTCCTTTAACAGCACTGCGGCATGATTCTCTCTTGCTTTCACAAAAAAAAAAAAAAAAGTTATTTATCTTTAATATCCGTTATTGTTAGCCTATTTAAGTTTTAAAGGGGCTTATAGACTATTTTTCAGTGCATGCATTGACTGCTCCTTTAAATACATGGAATATACGTGTCTTATTTCTGTTAAATTCGACAGAATGATAAACACGGACATGTGCATTTTTCAGAAAATAATAATATTATAATAAAAAGCTTCAAAAATTAGTTTCAAAACGGAAGTACGAATTTGCTCGAAATAACGCAAAAACATCAAATTTTCACTTTTTTGTGAAATATGTCCTTATAGTGTTTTTAGCAGTTTGGGACACAAATACGACTGTCACCAGCCTTTACCTTTCTGCCAGGCTGGACTCCTGGGGTATCAGCATCTACAATGAAGCCTGTGAAAGCCTTGCTAGCAGGACATTTGGGATCGGAATCTGTGCGGGCCAGCAGGAAGTACCTTTAAATGCAAAACAAAAGGGTTTATACTTGGCCTAAAACAAATTTATGAATTCATTGTAGGAATTTGAAATGCTTCTCCTACCAGTTTGCTTTTCCTCCATTAGTGATCCACATTTTCTGACCATTGATCACGTAGTCATCTCCTTTCTTAACAGCCCGGGTCTTTATTCCAGCCACATCAGAGCCTGCTCCTGGCTCAGTTACACAGTACGCCTGTCCACACACAGTACCATGTTAATGACAAAAAGTGTGCAAGTACCATTATGAGAACACTTCAGAAATCATGAGATGGTTAGAACATTTGACACTTACACACATCAATGGTTCCTCTGTCATTCTGCCCAAATATTTCTTTCTCTGAGCATCATTACCAGCGATGATGACTGGCATTTGCTGCATGGAGAAAATAAATAAACACCTCTAAAAATCACAGTAACTGTTTTAGACTAATCATAACTCCTCCTCATGTTCACTACATAACAAAAATACAATGTGCTACGAGTCCTAACTACAAATTGCCATTGTTTTCAAATATTTATTACTTGTAAATACAATTTTTAAACTCCAGAGACTTACCCCCAGAGAGTTCGCCTCAATGGCTGTCTGCACCCCAGTGCAACCATAGGCCAGCTCTTCTGTGATGAGACAGGCATCAAAAATGCCCAGACCCATTCCACCTAAAATATACCGCAACATCCAACATGTTCTAAAATTATTATCATAACTCTTACATCCATACTGAAAAAAAAAAACACAGAGCGGAGTTATTCATCACTTGATAAATGCTGGTATCAAAGACATTGCAAGCATAAAGACAGAGTTTTTAAAAGCTTAAACTATAATAGCTTTATTATATTTCCAATACGGGTGTAAAAGTGTATTGTTTCTTTGGTGCACCACAATGCAGACAATTCGGTATTAGTTCAGCATTAGTTCCTATCCGGTTATTACATACTGACATCATTTAACTCATATGCATGACAAGGGAGGAGTCTGCAAGTAATTAAAAACACTGAAACTCTGCACAATTTACTGTGTGTGTGTTTGCTGAACAGTGTTTCACTGACACTAAAGTTACAGCAAAACCCAGAAGCCCCCATTCCACTGCAATGGAGAAAATGAAAGCTGTAAACTCCATTTCTGCCTCTCTCTCCCCCTCTTTCACTGTGGACCTTTGACCTGCTGGTAAGGTATGAGGTAACCTTTCCTCTCCTCTCAGCTGTTACAGTGGATCCAGACATGAGTGTCTGCAGAGCAAGTTTTCTCCACCGCGCCCACCACAGATCAGCTGTGATCGCCGTTGCAGTTTATCAGCGTCACTCATCGGTGAACAGCACCAGCGTGTTAGAGCCAATCACAGCCTTTTCCGTTTACTGCGTGACCAATCATAGGGATGTAAAAACTTACCTGACAACGCTTAAAAAGCAAGCGGGATATTATTTACTTTAGTTTATTTGCTATAAATGCATATTCTGTGTTCTGTGCATGTATTTGAGTTGTTTAAACATTCAAAAACAGTGTTTTCATTGAGCGGGAAAAATTAAAGATACAGTTCATATATCTGACTGTATTAAAAGGACATATCTGCATTACAAATATATAAATTTACAAATTCTAAATTTTAATACAAGAATTCTTGTGCTGTAAAGTAAATTATAAAACTGTATGGAAAGCACCGAATCGATGGCACGATAATCGTAACCAAACCATGAGAGCAGTGTGGGTTCACACCTCTAATTTCCAACTAGCAAAGTATTGGGATCAGAAACAGTAGCTCAATTCACAACATAAGGGGATATTTGTCCTTTGTTGCACCAAACCAAAGACTTTTTATTTTAAGTAAATATCCTGGATACATTAATATGTTCAACCAACTAAAAAGGTACACTAAAAGCACCTAAAAACTATAATAAAGAGATTTGAAGGCTACATTTCAACTAAAACTTCAACCCACACCATTAAACAAATCTTTCATAATGCTTCAGAGATAGAAAACAAGCCATATGGACTACATTAATCATACTTTTACACCGCCTTTATGGCATAATTGCATGGAAATAGCTATCAGTGGATCATCATTAGAGAAAAAGCCAACTGTTAGTGGAGTCAAATAAGATTTGCACCAGTAACTGATAACCTTGTCTTGGAAAGCTATAAACAATTCTGTTTGCATTAAGAAACTTTTAGAGAAGGTAAGCCATACAAGTTTGGAATGACATGGTGAGTACACACTAATTGGAGTAGTAGTTTTTTTGGCAACAGATTTTAAAATACTTACCACAGTCCTCTGGAATATGTCCGTTCATTAGACCCAGCTCCCATGCTCTCTTAATAAGGGGGAAAGGATACTGGAAAGAGAAAAATCTGAAATTACACATCTAATTGATCAAAAAAAAAAAAAAAAAAAAAAATATATATATATATATATATATATATATATATATATATATATATATATATATATATATATGGTGGAATAATATTACTTACTTCGCCACTTCTGTCATATGATGGGGCAGCTGGAACAATCTCCTCTCGTGCAAACTTTCTTGCCACCTCCTGGAACTCTTTCTGCTGCTCGGTTAGTTCTGTTAAATTGGTACAATAGCATGTTGGGATGGGATGCTTTACATTTAGCCTTAATATATTGAAATAGAAAAAAAAACAATGAAAAAAGGTTGAAGTACATACCAAAGCTGAAGCCTCCATTACCTCCCTTCAAAGAGGCAGTAGCTGCTTTGGCACTAGCTTGAGCACTGGTACCCTGAAACCGGAGTCCAGCTTGAACACCTGCCCTCAAAACCTGTTGCACAATGATTAAACAAAGATTATGCACAATGTTAAAGACTGACCACAGTTCTGATAACGTGCCTTAAGTCTTCAAAAGATTATTTAAAGGATCCACAAGATAAGCTGTAAACAATATAACAGAATGTTATAATTTTTTTTATTGGTCACATGAAAAATGTAACGTACACTATATAAAGCATTCATGATTAGGGTTTGTTTGTTGACATTTACAAAAGTGAAACTACGAGGAGGGGGAAAACTATTAACTTCTCTCAATCTAGAAATGGTAACGACCACAGTTCAAAGGTGTGATGGTTTATAACTGCGTAACGTTAGACCAGCTAATATAACTAACGTTGATGTTAGCACTAAGCTAACTATATTTCAGGTTTAACAATACCAAATTTCATATTTGTCGTGCATTCGACGACATGCATATGAAAAAAACAGATACTGACCGCAAACATGCCACTAGAAAAAGCGTATTTACCTTGTTAAAAAGCATCGTCATTTAGTTCCAGAGCTCAGATCCTTCAATGTCCTTAGACTGGCCTCCCCGCAGAAGACGTGAAGTACCGACCAATTATCGCCCTCCCTTTTATCACGTGTTTAAGCACCGTCGCTCCAGTGACTTTTGGCCTAGTTTTATTATATAACGCATCAGAACAATTAAAAACAATCTCTGTTTCATTTAATACGATAATCTTCATGATTATTTTAAAAAGATATAACTTTTAATAGATAGTTGATAGTTGAATGAATTAATGAAAAGTGTAACACACACACATCAACACTAAATTACCAACATTTAAATATAATGTATTCCTGTGAATCAAAGCAATATTTTCAGCATGATTACCTCAGTGTTACTTCAGTACTTCAGTGTTAAATTAGCCTTGATTTATGTTTATTTAGCACTGATATAAATTGGGGTTCTCCTCACAGCAAGAAGGTCGCGGTGGTCGCAGTTGGCGTTTCTGTGTGGAGTTTGCATGTTCTCCCTGCGTTCGCGTGGGTTTCCTCCGGGTGCTCCGGTTTCCCCCACAGTCCAAAGACATGCGGTACAGGTGAATTGGGTAGGCTAAATTGTCCGTAGTGTGTAAATGTGTGTGTGGATGTTTCCCAGGGATGGGTTGCGGCTGGAAAAGCATCTGCTGCGTAAAAATGTGCCGGATAGGTTTGCGGTCCATTTCGCTGTGGCGACCCCGGATTAATAAAGGAACTAAGCCGACAAAAAATGAATAAATGATTGATTAAAAGAGTAAACTCGTTTTTCAAGTTTAGTTTTCGAACTTACAAACAATTTCAACATCATTAACCATCATAGATGTTTATATGTTCATTCTTTTTTTTTTTTTTTTTTTTTTTTTTGGTTAGTCCCTTTATTAATCAGGGGTTGCCATAGCGGAATGAACTGTCAACTTATCCAGTAAATGTTTTACGCAGCAGATGCTTTGCAGATGCAACCCTAGAAAACACACACTCATTCACACACATACACACTATGAACAATTTTGGCTTGCCCAATTCACTGTACCGCATGTCTTTGGACTTGTGAGGGTAACCGGAGCACCCAGAGGAAACCCACGCAAACACGGAGGGAACATGCAAACTCCACTCAGAAATGCCAACTGACCCAGCTGACACCCGACCCAGCGACCTTCTTGGGGTGAGGAGACAGCACTACCTTCTGCGCCACCGCGTCGCCAGATGTTTAAATATCTACCATTATTAGCACTAAGCTCCAGTAGTAATTTATCACAATATAGCAGAACATTATAATTTGTGAAATTTCAGCTTTGACCAAACTCTTCTCAGTGCTATCTTAAACAAAAAAAATTGCTTAGTTATTAATAGTTCTCAGATATCTTTACCTGATTGCATAGGTTGTTGGAATAATATTTGGTGATATAGATTGGGAACAGTTTTCGCCTCTTCAGAGAAAAAATATTTTTTTATCTAATAAAGCTGTCACGATGTCGATCACAATCATTCATTATTGCTACTCAATAAAAACCGAACTAGCTAAATTAAATAACAACATTTCCCCTAAATGCTTATTTTGTACTCAATATGAGGAAACACTATGTAATTTATTGTTGGCGTGTACTCACTGTAAAGAGGGTTGACTATTCCTATTTCGTTTAAAAAATCTTACTTCCAAACTTTTGTATTTCATCAAAAATTGCCCAGGTAGCAAAAAATTCTGGCCCAGAGTTGGCATAAAGCTAGTTCAGCAGACATTCATCTGGCACTGGCATACAGCAGGTGGGCCAAACATAGCCCGGGTTTGGCAGAGGTGGCATCATTTTTAAGGTGGCACAAAATACTTGGGCCAAATGTAAAATGTAGCATTTGGCCCAGTTAATAATTGATATGTGGGCCACGTAAGTTTGGCCTATCTTGACCCACATTTAAAATTCATTTTTATTATTTTCAGATACAAAACTAATTTTCAATCAAATCAATTTGAGAAAAATGCACAATGCTTTATAGTTTTATCGGTGCAGTTGTGATGCACCAAGATATCTGGCCCAGTTCAGGCCCAGTTAGGTTGTCAACTTGGCTGCGACTTGGCCCAAATATGGTCCATGTGTAATCTGACATCCAAACTTGGTCCAGTCATGTACCGGTAATTCACTGCAACATGTGGGCCATGCAAAAGCTGATTGTGTGGGCCAGAGAAATGTTGTTATGGGTATATTCTGTGGTTGCTCTCTGAACTTAGATTTTTCTCATTGTAAATTTATCATTATTTTATTGTGGGGTTTTTTGGCTAAATTTATCTATTCATTCATTCATTCATTTTCTTGTCGGCTTAGTCCCTTTATTAATCTGAGATCGCCACAGCGTAATGAACCGCCAACTTATCCAGCACATGTTTACACAGCGGAGGCACTTCCAGCCGCAACCCATCTCTGGGAAACACACACACTCATACACTACAAACAATTTAGCCTACCCAATTCACCTGTACCGCATGTCTTCAGACTGTGGGGGAAACCTGAGCACTCGGAGGAAACCCACGCGAACGTAGGGAGAACATGCAAACTCCACACAGAAACGCCAACTGAGCCGAGGATCTTACTGTGAGGTGACAGCACCTACTGTGCCACTGCGTCGTCCTTTTTCTGGCTAAATTTTAATGCATAAATGTCAATTTTAAAAGAGACGCCCTTACTATTTATTTTCAGAAAGGATTTTGATTTATATGTAAACTCTGTAGAAGACTCTAATAATTATATTTGATGTAAAACTCTTACCTGGTGTAAAACATTTCAATTTTATTTATGTAACCCTTTTTGTATTGTTCATATCGTATCTTTGTAAATTTTCTTGCATAATAAAACAAAACTTCAACTTTGAATCACGGGAATACATTTTAAAACACAGTCACGTAGAATGATAAATGAATAAAATTTCATAATTTATAACATTTTTATGGTAACTTTGACTTTCTCCCATTTAATTATTATTTTCCCCCAGTTGTACAAATGACAGGACGTGTTATAGAGCAATAAATAAAACGTGTCATTTTAAATCCACATTGATTCAGGTTAAGGGAAAGTGTAACAGGCAGTCTATCCAGCAGGGAAAATTATAAACACACAATATCGATGACATATTAAATTGATTAAAAGACCGTAAACTTTTTACATGTTAAAATGCTGTTTTCGAACTTTCCATTCATCAAATAAAAATGAAGAGGAAAAAAGTTTTAACATCATTAACAATTATTAACACTAGTAATAATATATCACAACAGAGCAGAAAGTCAACATATTAAGATGATTTCTGATTTTTAAGAACATTTTAAATGCTAAAATGTCATCTTTGAATCACAGGAATAAATTTTTAAATACCGTCACATCGAAACAAATAGATTGGAATGATAAATAGGAATAAAAATGTACAATTTATACTGTTTTTATTGAGATTTTGACTTTCACCTATTTATTAATTCATATTTTCTCTCAGTTGTTTAATCATAAGTACAAACGACAAGACGCGCTCGCTTTTGAGCAATAAATAAAACGTGTAATCTTAAAATCCACATTCATTCAGCTTTAAGGGAAGTGTAACAGGCAGTCTATCCAGCAGGGGGAACGAGTAAAGTAAACACACATGGGCGGATCGCCCTTTAGACTGGTGGTGGAGACACGTAGCTGTCTTGACAGATGCCAGTATCCGCGAGAAAGCTCTGGCGGGAGTAACAAAGCTTTACTGTCTCTAAACCTTTGTTACGCTGCTCTTTTTCTATCACGTCGGATTCCAGTAAAAGCGGACAAACAGGGAAAGCGGATGAGTGAGTGTAATGCTCGCTGACGCTCAGTGTTGTTGACACATCCTCGGCTAGCTCTCCGGCTAGCGCTCCCAAAACTTGAGGAGGAGAAATGTCTCCGGACGACAACCCTCACACCCTCCTGGGCAGGATACGCTTCTTAAACAGGTGTATAGAGTGTTTCCGAAAGAGCGAACCTCTGCCGGAGTCCCTGTGTTATGTGGCGAAGGAGGTTTGCTATAAGATATGTAAGGACTCGTCTTCGGGCTCCACTTCCGCGTCCTCCTCTACAGCGGGCAACTCGGGTGGCAAGAGTGTGGTGTCGGTGTGGGACAGCCCGCACCAGGCGCCACACAAGAAATCGTGCAGATGTAACATCGAGCCCAAAAAAGGGACGTGCATACGGACGACAGGGGAGGAGTACTGCAACAGCCACGGCCTGTGGGTCAAAATAAACAAGGTAGAAAGTTTATGTATAGGAAATGCAGCAAGGATTGCTGTTAGGAGCCGTTCTGATTGATCTGCTGTATCATTATTGCCATCAATGTGGAGTGGACTTCCTGGTTGGTGACGTCACCCATGTTATCAACTTTGCAATTATTCAGCTTTTCAGACCACCCTAACAGCTTTTACATCTCCTCTGTAAAAACCTTTGACTTTAATATTGTTTAATAATATAATTTTAAACATGACTTCATTCAATATTCAGATGTTTTTATGTGCATATTCAGATATGTATGCAAATCAGCACATATTTAATGAAAAAACTAATATTTTGCATATTTATTTAGTAAACTTCTTCAACTATTGCAAAATAAATGTTTGCATTTATGTAGCAATAAACTGAGGATCTATTGTGATACTTATTTTTAAAATCTTTTTACATTATTCGCCAGCAGTATCTTACCTTTATTAAATATGGAGAAATGAATAGGTGTTCACCACACAGGTGTTTGTGTGGCTCTGGAAATTCTACACTGCTCTGCTCAATGGACATTCAAATGAGAGTCAGCGTGTTTTGCTTGTGTGTTGGTCTGATTTGTTTGAGTGCTCTGTCTATCCCAGGAGCAGCTGGAGGAGTATCGGGCAGGTGTGGACATTGAGGAGGGCTGGATCCTGGTCTGCAAACACACTGAAGGAGGCGACAGACTCGTCCCGGTCGAGTCTGCTGACACTATCAGCCGGCAACAGCAACTCTTCGGATATGACCACAAGCCTTGTAATAGGTTTGTGGCTTCGTAAAGGCCCACCATTCTTTATTTCGATTAGTGTAAATAAAAATTGGGGATG